GTGCATGTCCGGGGAGGGAGAGGATAGCAGCAGACGTGCACGGGGCAGCTGGACTCGGACGAGGCCTAGTGCAGATCAGTACACCACCGGAGAGAGAGGAGAAGGTTGTAGGATTGCTGGGAGCTGAGAAGACCAAACGCGTACCGGTGCTGGCACTTATTTCTGCGCAGCCGCATCCACATCCACGGCCACAGTCACGACCGCGGTCACGTCCACAGTCAGTCATATTCACAGCCACATTCACAGCCACATCCACAGCCACATCCACATCCACAGCCACAGCCACAGCCACAGCCACAGCCACAGTCACAGCCACGGCCGCGGTCACATCCACAGTCACAGCCACATTCACAGCTACAGCCACATCCACAGCCACAGCCACAGTCACGGCCTCGGTCACATTCACAGCTACATCCACAGCCACAGCCACATTCACAGCTACAGCCACAGCCACAATCACGGCTGCGGTCACATTCACAGCTACATCCACGGCCACAGCCACAGCCGCGGTCACAGCCACAACCACAGCCACGGTCGCGCACGTCGGGTCACGTCGTACACGATGAAAATGTTGAGACAGCCACGTATCAATCCTGCCGCGTTGATTGATGCCATGCCAGGGGCGCGGCCAGCCTGCCGTCACTGGAGTCGCCAGCTGTCGTGCGTGACCGCCGGGCGGCGGCCGGTGGCGCCGCGGTCAGATTATGACGTCACTCGCAGGACGTATCTGACGCTGGGACGCTACACGGTGGAGATGTTCCACTACCTCACCATGGAGATCAAGGAGCCGTTCCTGCGGCCGGAGCTGGCCGACCGCCTGGCCGCCATGCTCAACTTCAACCTGCAGCAGCTGTGCGGACCCAAGTGTGAGTGGACCGACCGGCGGCGGCCCGACGGCAGCCAGTCTCGCTGTGGCAGCCGTGCCTGGTCCTGGCTGAGCTGTCCTCTGCGGCGTCACGTCACAGTCAGCGATATTGCACCAGGGCTTGCCGACGTCCGTCAGACGCCATGGTGCTGTTTTACGGGCGGATTCTCCCATGCTCCTGCTCTGCTATGCGTGTTTGCGACTCACGATGGAGAGACGAACGATTCGGCGAAAGACGTGTTTTAAAAGCGTGCGAGTTCCGTTGTTGGTGACGCAGTGGGGCATCTACTAGTGCTGCACGGGCGCCCCGCGCACTCGCGGAGCTCATCCTGACTAGTCACGTGGTTGCCAGGCAACAATCTCAAGGTGAAAAGTCCGGAAAAGTACGGCTGGGAACCGCGCCGACTGCTGGACCAGCTGACCGACATCTACCTCCACCTGGACTCGCCCAGCCTGGCCACGGCCATCGCCAACGACGAGGTCAGTGGGCGGGGCGGGGCGGCGCTGCGGCGTCGGCTCGGACCGGCGCCGGCCCGAGCGGCGCCGGCCGCCTGCTGGAGGTTGGACGTCCCAGGTGGCGCTGAGATCGAGTGGGGTCGTGGTGCCATGATCCAGATGGACGAACTCAGCTTCAGTAATGACGCCTTTAGTGGTGTCGGATTGTATGACGTCAGATTGTATGACTGTTTTTGTCGGTCACCGTGCGTCAGTCTGTTTACAGCGCTCCCTGAGGCCGCAGCTGTTCTCTGACGTGTGTATGCCCGTCTGCAGCGCTGCCTGAGGCAGCAGTTATTCTCTGACGTGTGTACGCCTGTCTGCAGCGCTCCCTGAGGCAGCGGTTGTTCGCTGACGTGTGTATGCCTGTCTGCAGCGCTCCCTGAGGCCGCAGCCGTTCTCTGACGTGTGTATGCCTGTCTGCAGCGCTCCCTGAGGCCGCAGCTGTTCTCTGACGTGTGTATGCCTGTCTGCAGCGCTCCCTGAGGCCGCAGCTGTTCTCTGACGTGTGTATGCCCGTCTGCAGCGCTCCCTGAGGCAGCAGCTGTTCTCTGACGTGTGTATGCCCGTCTGCAGCGCTCCCTGAGGCAGCGGTTGTTCTCTGACGTGTGTATGCCCGTCTGCAGCGCTCCCTGAGGCCGCAGCTGTTCTCTGACGTGTGTATGCCCGTCTGCAGCGCTCCCTGAGGCAGCAGCTGTTCTCTGAAGTGTGTATGCCCGTCTGCAGCGCTGCCTGAGGCAGCGGTTGTTCTCTGACGTGTGTATGCCTGTCTGCAGCGCTCCCTGAGGCAGCGGTTGTTCTCTGACGTGTGTATGCCTGTCTGCAGCGCTCCCTGAGGCCGCAGCTGTTCTCTGACGTGTGTGTGCCCGTCTGCAGCGCTCCCTGAGGCCGCAGCTATTCTCTGACGCCGTCAGTCGGATGGAGAGGGCTGTCATCAAGCCGCAGCCGCAGATAGAGGCGTTCCGGCAGCTGGCGGCGCGCAGCCTGGAGATCCGGACCCGTAACGCCCAGAAGGCGGTGGAGTTCGGAGACGCGCCCGACGAGTTCAAAGGTAGCCGCCGTCGCCGTGTCCCGGAGTCAGATCGCGGAGAACTCCGCTGCGGAAGCAGACGACACCGGGCTGTGGGAGGCGAGATGCATGCCGGGAACTGAATCCTGCGCTCTGGTCTCTGCATCGTCAATAGTTGCTCACGAAACGCTGTCACTTGGCGGTTTGGCGGTTCGCACAGGGTTCAGGGAGTGTCTGCGTTGACGGCCTTTGCCAGCGCCACTCCCCGCATTGTGCATCACGACATGACCTGGAGTGGTATGATGGCCACGGCGGTATGATGACCATAACCACGGCGGGACCGCTCTGCGGCGTACCATCGGACCGGCCGACGTCCGTTGAGTCTGTCCTCTGCTGACGCGCCGCGGCGCCGCCGCCGCAGACCCGCTGATGGACACGCTGATGGAGGACCCGGTGATCCTGCCGTCGGGCAAGGTGATGGATAGGCCAGTCATCACGCGCCACCTGCTCAACTCGTCCACGGACCCGTTCAACCGGCAGCCGCTCACCGAGGACATGCTGATCACTGGTCAGTGGAGGCTCGGGGAGGAGGCTGACACCGGGGTGGCTGGCAGCCGGTCACCGAGGTCATGCTGATCACTGGTCAGCCGAGGCTCGGGGGGGGAGAGCTGACACCGGGGTGGCCGGCAGCCGTTCGCCGAGGTCATGCTGATCACTGGTCAGTCGAGGCTCGGGGAGGGGAGCTGACACCGGGATAGCCGGCAGCCGCTCACCGAGGACATGCTCATCTGGTCGGTGCTGTGGCGCTGGCCTGGAGCAGCGGGAGGCATAGTGGTCGGGCGGGCGGTGTTGAGTCGTAAGCTCGTGACCACGTGGCCTTGCGCCCTTACACGGAAATGTGTCCCAATTGTAAACAATGTCTGATGTCCAGTGTCCAAATGGTGTCTGGCCGACTGTCTCAATGTGCGGGGCTGTATTATTGACTGTCTTGCACATCTCGACAGATCATGGCATGGTATTGTTCGGAATGGGGGGGCCGCGGTGCCTTTGTGATGACCTTAACGTGCGCAGGCGGTGGTTCGTGACACATTAGACTGCGGGCTGATCAGGTCGGTCGCGGTCACGGTAAAAGTAATGACGCCAGGGTCAGGGTTCATTTTACCGTGCCGTAAAGCGTTTGGAGAAAGCGTGTGCGCTACCCCGCATACGACTCGGGAAGGTATAACGCATCAGTGCTAAATACCACTTTCTTTTGCAGCCACGGAGTTGAAGCACAAGATAGAGGACTGGAAGAAGGCCAAACTAGAGGGGAAGAAGTGAAGCCGTCTCCCCCGCCCGTCTCTGCTGCCTCTGAAGTGTGGTTGTGCCGTGTCGGCAGCTCTGTCCAGCTCGGCCTGGCCGGCGGCGACGGCGGCGCGCACCGGCCAGGCTACTGGCAGCCCCGACAGACCGAGGGCGCCGGCCGACCCCACTCCGTTTGTACCTTTGTAATGACGACCGCCGCCAGCGCCGGACGCGGTCGCCTCCGCTCGCGGAGAACAGGCCGGGCGGGCGCGAGCCTGTGCCCACGTGTGACGCGGTGCGCGATCCCATGGCTTGGACACGGCAACGTGGGTGATGTGGGACCGCGGCCGTGGCGGACGGAGGTCGCGTCCCTGCCGTGTGCAGATTGTGGCGCGCTGTCACGCGATTCTGACGTCATAAGCGCACACCGGGCCATTCGAGGTAGCGCGTGACTTGTATTTATGACGTCCCCAAATGGGACGACTCAAGCGGCCTATTGTCGCGTGCGTTATCGAGCAGCGTACGAGAACGTATTGCTTATTTATGCGCGCGGTGTGTACATATGTTGTGTATGTTGGTATATACAGGAAGCCACGTACCACGCGGTGTTTTTCATTGCCATGGGGGGTGCGTGGCACGGCGGAACGTTTGGACGCTGGGACAGACGCAGCCAACAGGGGCGCGGTGTGGGACATCCGACCGGCTGGACAAGCGGGATGTCCTTGCACCCGAATTTTTCGGGACGCAAGTTTGCATGCGAGTCAGGACAGTCGCACGGTACGGCGCCCATCTGCCATCGAGGGCCAGCAGCTGGTGCAGCCTCCGGCCGGTGTCCATTGGACGCGACTGAAGAATGTCGACAGAACTCATCCCTCTGCGAGCGGCTTCCTTTTCAGCTGCGCCAGCGCACCGTTGTGGGGAGTGAACACAACGGGTTCGTCAAAACTGTATGCCTTTATCAAAACCAGAACAAACGTTTCAACTATAGACTACGTAACTCTGCCGTAATCACCGCCCTAAACTCGACACGCGAGTGACTGCTCCCGTCAGGATGAAGCCGGCGGCTGGGCGCCAGGCACGAGCGCGCCGGCGCTGGCGCCGCGGCTTCACAGCGCTCATCCGAACGCTCGGCTCGTCACCAAACACGTGGCACAACAGGAGACGGCGGAGCGCCGACGGCACCAGCGGCGCCAGCGGGCCTCGAGGGACGCAGCATCGCCAGACGCGTGCCGACCGCTGGGAGCTGCCCGACCTCGACAGCGGCACAGCTGGCAAACGGCGGCGGCGGGCCGCTCGTGAGCGGGCGCCGCTGCAGGCTCGGCCGGCGGCGGCGCACCGGCTCCGGCCGCGCGCGCTGTCCGTGTCGAGGCTCCGCCACACACGTGACGCGACCGGGGACGCCCGGACGCCGCTGGCGGACGAGGACGACGGACCGGCGACGGCGATCACGGCCGTCGGGTGGCCTCGCGCAGGTTGTGGTACCAGCGTATGACGGGCTCACGCCGCTCCCACACCTGTTGCCGGCCGTACAGCGACCAGTACCTGCAACCGGACGGTGGTCAGCGGCGCGGCCCCGGGAGCGGGACCGGACGGTGGTCAGCGGCGCGGCCCCGGGAGCGGGACCGGGAGAGGAACCGGACGGTGACCAGCGGCGCAGCCCCGGGAGCGGGATCGGACGCTGGTCAGCGACGCGGCCCCGGGAGCGGGACCGGACGCTGGTCAGCGACGCGGCCCCGGGAGCGAGACCGGGAGAGGGACCGGACGGTGATCAGCGGCGCAGCCCCGGGAGCAGGACCGGACGGTGGTCAGCGGCGCGGCCCCGGGAGCGGGACCGGCGCCGGAGAGCAGGCCTCTGTGGACGGAGCGGCTGCACGTCCGGTCAGAGGGAAGCAGGCAACCTTGGAAAGCTGCCTCTGTGGGGATACCAGGCACGGTGACGTGCGGTCTCGGAAGCGGCTGTTATTGTACAACACCTGAGAGCACCGGCAAAACACGCGTGCAAAGTCTGACACCGCACCCGATTTAAGTTTAGGATATGCCTTCGACCCACTCGCACCCTTCTCGTACAATGTACCGCTCTTTTAATTGGTCTACGCTAATAAAAAACAACAACCGCAGTCAAGAATGAGCAGTTTGATCGCCACTTTCACCGGGCACGGGTGTGCCAATACGCATGGCGCCTCGGCGGCCAGCTCACGCTGATGGCGTGTTGGCAGGACTGACGCTGGAAACGGCCTCCGAGAGACCTCTGCGAGACGTCCTCCGAGAGACCTCTGTGAGACGCCCTCTGAGAGACCTCTGCGAGACGTCCTCCGAGATGCCTCTGCGAGGGACCCTCTCCGAGACCACTCCTCTCCGAGAATGCTCTCCGAGCCCACCATCCCCACACGGTGCCCGCGCCCCGGAGCTCACACGCCGAAGAGGGCGCCACCCAGGTGGGCGGCGTGGTCGAAGAAGTTCCAGCGGAGGACGGCGCCGAGCGTGTCGAACGCCATCACCGCTTTGATGGCCGTGCCGGCCGTGAAGGTGAACATCGGCAAGAAGATGATGGCCAGCCTGGAGTCGGGTGACTCGGTGCAGACGAACCCCAGCACGGCCATGATGGCGCCCGACTGTCAGGCGCAGAGCCAGCGGACCGAGTCAGGAGCAGGGTCGGGCAGAACGGGCCGAGGCCCACGCGCCCCTTGGCACCGACGTGGAGGCCGCGCCAGCAGGATATTGCGGGCCCCGAAATAGTTTGTCGAGGTTCCATCACACATTAGGTCAACTTGAACGTGTCCCAGGGACCTGAAAATATTCACACAATACGCCATTCTAACATTTATATGGTCACTTATATAATGTGGTCAATTATATGGTGACCTCATTCACCTAAAATACTTGCTCACGACAGTGTAGGGCAGTCAAGAGCATTGCGCCTGGAAAGTCAGAGACATTGTGTGTGGGGGGTCAGGAGCGTTCTGTCGGGAAAATCCGGAACACTGTGTCAGGAGAGTCACAAACATTTTTGGGGATTCAGAAGCGTTGCGCTGGGGGAGTCATGAGCCCGGTGTCTCGGGGAAGGGGGTCAGAAGCATTGCGTCGGGAAAGTCAGTAGCATTGTGTCGAGAAAATCAGAAACATTGTGTCTGAGGAGTCCGTAGTTTTGTGTCGGAAGAGTTCGGAACATTGTGTAGGGAGAATCAGGAACATTGTGTTGGTGGGAGAGTTAAGAGCATTGCGTCCGAGGAGTGAGAAGCATCGTGTCATAGGAGAGAGAGAAGGATCGCGTCATGGGAGTGAGCAGCGTCACGTCATGGAAGTGAGAAGCATCGCGCCAGTCTGGAGGAGAGCCGGGGCACTGAGCACTCGTGTCAGGGGAGAGAGAGCAATAGGTGAGGATTAAGGGGCATCGCGACTGCCTGGCATAGAGTTCAAAGTTGAAGAAAACCCCTTAAACCCCACAAACCAGTGTGCCAGGAAGCCAACACCGGTGTGCTGTCCACTATCCGGCTGTGTCGTCTCTCACCGCCCCCATGGAGACGGCCGGCGTGAAGACGAACATCTTGTAGAGGTAGCTGCCTAACGAGGAGACCAGCGCGCCGCTGAGGTACAGTCCGAGGAACTGCTCCTTGCCCAGCATCGCCACGGCACCTGGAGAGAGACGGACGCACGCAGTTCATCCACCACCCCCACTAACGCAGGCCCGCTGTCGGGCACGCTACAGTCGGAGGCAGCGGCTCCAGGTGGCGCCGCGACAGCACGCGCTGTGGGGAGCTGCGTGGAGCTGCCAGCAGTCCGTGTGGTGCGCGAGGCGAGCCGCCGCCGGCGCTGGTGTGTCTGCACAGGTGCAGTGGAGCTGCAAGCAGTCCGTGCGGTGCGCGAGGCGAGCCGCCGCCGGCGCTGGTGTGTCTGCACAGGTGCAGTGGAGCTGCAAGCAGTCCGTGCGGTGCGCGAGGCGAGCCGCCGCCGGCGCTGGTGTGTCTGCACAGGTGCAGTGGCTCACGGATATGTCGCTAGGGTGCAAGCTGAGCGAGCACTGAGTTGACGGTTGTGACCGCCGGTCGTGGCGGATCACGGTGTCACGTGACCGGTCGTGGTGCCGCCCCCAGCGTGCCGTGGCGGACCGGGTGGAACGGACTCATCGGTCCCCACCGACCGGGCTGGGTGCGGGTGGGCTGCGATAGTTAATGTGCGCGACTCTTCGTAATGGGCCGTAAATCCAGTCACGTCACCTCGCGTCGTGGTAGATGCAGTCGTTACAGCCACGTTCCGACAGGGGTGCACGACGCCACGATAACGTCACACACACGCGTGGCGCGTCAACGTTGCAACGGTGCAGAACTGGCGCGTAATCATGACAGGTCCAGCCAGCTGCAGTCAGTGCGTGGCGCACAAGGGTGCTAGGATGTTCACACACACGCGTATCCGTGCCCACGCCCAGCTTTTGATGCCCGAATAAGCGAAGAGGCGCACAGAGCATCTCATGCGCCTGACATCTTCTGTAAAGCACCAAACACATGGCAGACAGCTCATCACATGGCTAGTCGTGCACTGTAGGGACGGATGTGCGGGAGCGAGGGCCAAGACGTTCTGGCGGCGCCTCAGCCTCAGATCTCTCCGGAGCGGAGGTGTCCACCGACGACGACGCGGCACGCGGCGCGCCGCCCACCACTCACCGGTGGAGAAACTGTGCAACACAAACATGTTGACAGCCAGGTGCGTGAAGGAGTAATGACTGAAGCCGGACAGCAGCATGGGCAGCCGGAACCAGGCTGCCGGGAGGAGGTGAGTCGCGTCAGGGCGCAGGCACGGCGTGGCGGCGCAACGCGCTGTGGTCCACGACAGATCGCGTCCATTGACGGGACTACCACGGGCTCCTCAGTGCCGCCGAACATGGTCAGACAGCGACCAGGGTCAGCTGAGCGTTACGAACATGGGTCCACCACAGCTCCGGCATGGGCTCCAGTCGCCCGCCGTCACCACAGCTCCGACATGGGCTCCAGCCGCCGGCCGTCACCGCAGCTCCGGCATGGGCTCCAGTCGCCGGCCGTCACCACAGCTCCGACATGGGCTCCAACCGCCGGCCGTCACCACAGCTCCGGCACGGGCCCCAGTCGCCGGCCGTCAAGGAATGCAGCTGCCCTTAACAGCTTAACACCTGCGCAATCAGCAAAAACACTGGACCCGCATCTGCTCGGCCGGCAGCCCAGAACACCGCTCCGCCACGTGGCCCGCGTGCCGTAGAGCTTCGCCCGCCTCCCTCCCCTCCCCAGCCAGAGCCTCAGACGTACGCGAGGCAGGGGTGGAGGCGAAGTAACGCAGCATTGTGGGCGAGAAGGCGGGCACCTTCCACGCCAGGAACACGACCACGTTGAGCAGGCACAAGGGCCAGAAGAGCTTCTGACCGTCGGTTTGCGACGCCCACCAGCTGTGCAGTTGGTTCCGCCACTCGGGCTGCGGACGTCGGCGGACTCGGTCATGGTGAGACGCGGACGGCAGTCACGCTGTCGTGTCAGAGCGGGGTCATGGTGCCATGTCGGACCGGGTTCATGGCGTCACGTCAGATCAATATCATGGTGCCATGTCGGACCGAGGTCATGGTGTCATGTCAGACCGATATCATAGTGTCATGTCGGACCGGGGTCATGACGTCATGTCGGACCAACGCCATGGTGTCATGTCGGACTGGGGTCATGGCGCCATATCAGACCGATATCATGGTGCCATGTCGGACCGATATCATGGTGCCATGTCGGACCGGGGTCATGGTGTCATGTCAGACCGATATCATAGTGCCATGTCGGACCGGGGTCATGGCGTCATGTCGGACCAATGCCATGGTGTCATGTCGGACTGGGGTCATGGTGTCCTGTCGGACCAATGCCATGGTGTCACGTCGGACCGGGGTCATGGTATCGTTTAAAAGCGGGGTCAAGGTGTCGTGTCGGAACGGGGCCATGGTGCCGTGTCAGAGCGGGATCATGGTGTCATATCGGACAGGGGTCATGGTGTCATGTCGGACCGGAGTCTTGGTGTCAAACCGGGCCGGGCCATGGTATCATGTCGGACCGGATTCATGTCATGCGTGACTGCATGACTGACCTTACATGCTGTCATATTGGTGGGTACTTAATGGCCAATCCGTTCAAAAATTGTATTATAATCATCGCATGAACTTAGGCATCTGTTGATGCCAGATTCAAAGGCCGAAGCATATTTGGTTTTGTGAGGTTTCTCCCTCGTTTCTTCAACAGTCCTGGTAGCCGTTTTGTGCTGGATCGGGAAAGTCTCACTTATGTTACAAAGTGAGTTAATACCTATTTGTTTAGTTGACGTTGAAGAGACCCACTTTCCATATCGTTGCCACGGGGAACATGTCTCGGAAACAACTGGCTAGTATGCTTAGGTATAGTATATACGAGCTAACTGGCAATTGATTGCAAATTTGCTCATGCATAACAAAGAACTATCGATACTTTTGAAAAAAACGCCCGAGCAAGTCATATATATGCTATATTTTATGTATCATAATATATATATATATATATATATATATATATATATATATATATATATATAAGGCAAGACGGGTAGTCGTGGTAGTCGTGTGGCAGAGCGACGCCCAGTTGTTGCTGATGAAATCTGTCTAAATCAAAACCCAAGTCACACGTGTTGAACAAGGTAGGACCGTGACGTCAGGGACCGCAGTTCTGTTGCAGTTGAGACCAGGCTTCCGTGACGCATCCCGTTCTTAAGGCAGTCTCCTGCCCTATACCGGACCCTTGACCCGCGGTGTCCGGGGACCACGAGTCTCCCATGGGGTGGCCCGTTCCAGAAGCAGTCCCCTGCCTTGTATCGGACCCTTGACCCGCGGTGTCCGAGGACCACGAGTCTCCCATGGGGTGGCCCGTTCCAGAAGCAGTCCCCTGCCTTGTATCGGACCCTTGACCCGCGGTGTCCGGGGACCACGAGTCTCCCATGGGGTGGCCCGTTCCAGAAGCAGTCCCCTGCCTTGTATCGGACCCTTGACCCGCGGTGTCCGGGGACCACGAGTCTCCCATGGGGTGGCCCGTTCCAGAAGCAGTCCCCTGCCTTGTATCGGACCCTTGACCCGCGGTGTCCGGGGACCACGAGTCTCCCATGGGGTGGCCCGTTCCAGAAGCAGTCCCCTGCCTTGTATCGGACCCTTGACCCGCGGTGTCCGGGGACCACGAGTCTCCCATGGGGTGGCCCGTTCCAGAAGCAGTCCCCTGCCTTGTATCGGACCCTTGACCCGCGGTGTCCGGGGACCACGAGTCTTCCGTGACTCGTTCCGGAGGCAGTCGCCTGCTCCGTCCTAGATCAGTGACCGGCGGAGCACGGGCCGGCACCACTGACCCGCTTGAAGCCGTGCTCCGCCTGCCTGCGGCCCCACAGCAAGCCGCGGTCCATGGAGCGACGCATCATGGCCCGCACGCCCTCGTACTCCCAGATGACGCAGCCGGCCAGGATGGCGCCGGACCCCTGTGGCCATGGCGACAGCGTGAGGCCGCGCCGACACGTAGCGGCATCGCGGGCGAGGCCGAGGAAACGGACTGGCGGTGCTTACTGCAGTCACCACACATTGTATCCAGAGGGGCATCAAATGAAAATGAGACGGACGCTCAGGACACCCTAAAATTAGAATCACTTCCACAAGACAGCGGCCTCACCGAGCAGAACACCGGAGCGACTGCGGGCCTCATGTAACGCATTATGGCATGAAGCAGCCCCGGTTCCACGGAGTACTGGAGCCAGCACAAAGCCCCTTACACAGTGGGCGTAAGTCAAGGTTTGCGTATTCAAAAATTAATTGCGGGATATGGACGGCAGTGTGTTGACTTACCACGACGGTGAAGATGCTGGCATGCACAAACTTGCTCCAGGTGACATCGCCCTGTTCTGGGTTCACTACAGGCTTGTTCTTGCCTCCAAACCGCGCAAGCCAGCCCCCTGCAATTGGCAAAGCTTTCGATGAAGCGCGGAAGCAAGTCATCTTTAAAACAAAAGCAGTGTGAATAATCGAACGAGATAAACAAGGGACAAATGCTGGGTGCAATACGAGATAGCCACGTATCGCACACGTCTTCTTAAGACATTCCATAAAGAGCATAACATGGAGCAAAATGAAACAAAAAATTAACTTATGGCATATTTATTACCTTCGTGCTAGCCAAAGTGCAAATATTCAAGCTGGATAAAATCAAAGGTGTGGCAAGTATGCAAATAAATCATCAAAGCACCTTGAATTATGCCTCGAATGGTGAACAATTTATTCTTTTTCAGACCTAACTCAAGGCAATGGGTTGAAAACCGGAGCCTACATTTTCCAACTGATACCCACTTCCACTTCATGGTTTTGCTGCAGCACCTGAAAACTGCACCAAACACTGACCCCTGTTACATTGCTGTCATACTTGATGCCATGGATATCTACTTGACTGCTAAGGCTGTGCAGCATGCGAGCACATTCTGACCCACATTAAACAAGAAACAAATGCTTGCATACATATTATTGGATGTCATGAACAAGATGCGACGAGCCCAAACATATGTTAGAACAGCTAACACATCACGACACAAGACTTACTGCCTGTGAACAGTTGCCTATGCGCTTGAACATGGCGAATGCAGCTCCGTGGAACTTGGCTGCCAGTCAGGCGCAATGCGGCAGGCAAAATAATTCTGCAATCAGATGGTTCAAGTGAGGAAAATAATCACGCTCGCAGTGAGAGCCGTGGACATTGTGGTAGTAGAACAGGTCGCAACACTCAATAAAACCCACGTTTGCAAAATGTATTGTGTCCTTTTTCCAGAATGTTTTTTTGATCGGTATTTTGCAGGGGCGTGGCCGATGGGGGCATAAGCTGCTGCGTTCCCCTCCCACTCACTCCCCACTCCTCACGTCTGCACGATTCCATTGTGTTAATGACTCAGCCTCTCAAATAGCCAGTCTAGACGGTCCAGCAGAGGGGATTCCTTATCACCCAGCAATGGTTCTCCCTGTCCCAACACAGGGTATCTGGTTCCCATCTCCTTATCCAGAACAAGATCCCTTCGATTCACAAACGGGGCCTCCGCATACAGAAAAGGGCCTCGTTATCCCGAAACAGCGCATCCTAATCCGGAGCGATCGCCTTCTGACGTAACGGGTGGACCTCCTAAAATATAGAGGGCGACTCCCCATTCAAAACAGGGGACTTATAGTTCACAATGAGGCCTCCAAAGCCGTTCAAAAGACTTTCTTAAAACAGAATAGAGCCTGCTGATCCCGAAAACACACTTCATGATGCAGCAAAGAGTCTTCTGGGCCCAATTTAGACTCGTTCATGAGTCTATTTAATTTTTTATTATTCTTGATCAAATATCTATTATCCTTGATCAGATTTTTAGTAGGAAAGCTGCAACAACAAACTCTCAGTGTGGCTGAAAAGAACCCCACAACATTTTAAAAATGTTGTGTTACAAGCGAGGCCATGAGCCATTTGTGCAAATTGGTATCTGGTTGGAGGGAGGGGGAGGGGGGAGTAACCCGGCAACCCATCATCAAATTTAACCGTCAGCAATCACCTGTGACAGGAAGGTAGCCTAAATCGATGGAGAAATTTGAAGTCGCGTGAGATCAGGGCTGCTGTTGCACACTTCCGACTCTGACGTATGGCGATCCTGTCCTCGCTTCAAACTAACCATGTCTTTTTGTGTCTAAGGCACACAACATGGCCAGTCACAGCTTTTTTATATATATTTGCAATCACTGAGCGTGACATCACGAAGTTCTCAGCACTAAGAAGATTAACTTCTTAGAGGTCATGCTGGAACATTTTGAAGATATTTGGAAGATGTTAAATTGGGGACAACTTTCGCATCGCTGCAGAAACAAAACAATGCCATATTTCACATTTGACTAACACAGAAAACGTAATGTTCGCAGCAAGCAAAACAACAAGAACAAAACACCATAGAACTGGCCACAGAGCAGAACCAGGGACAAATCTCGGCACCTAGGGGTCCCAATGGCAAGGCATCAGCACACTCAGATGGGGAAACTAGCAGCCAATGGCAGTGGCACACATGTGTGTCCCTGCGTGCAGGTGGTCCGGTAGCTTGCGCCCACTCGGGCACAAGTCATGGATTGACCTGCGTGCAGGTGGTCGGTGGCTTGCGCCCACTTGGGCGCAAGTCATGGATTGACCTGCTCTTATACTTTCTTCCAGATTTTAGCATTAACATGAGGTTTCAGCGGTCAGAGAAAATCAACACTCGGGACGATTTACACGAGAAGGACGAAGCTACCCCCAGCAAATCATCTAGAAGGCTCTACATTAGCTGATCCATGAGGATGGCAATAATCGACCAATAAGGGACTGGTGTTGACCCAACAACCCTCCAGTATATGTCAAACCTGGGCCCAAGCAAGCAGACATTTACCATCACTGCATCAACTAAGATGGCAGGTATGAGGCAGGATGTAATTTCAGCCAATTTTCATACAATGTTGCATGCAAGTCAGCTCATTAACTCTACAAACAATTGATGACGATGCCCACTTTTACCCATGGTTATAAGTATTGGGTTGAAAAGGTACCTGATGGTGCTGATGCCTTGCTTAAGTTTTGGTATCATCCTCATCACAATTTTACTCATCTTTCTGGTTGATTTGTTTGTTCTTTGCCACAAAAGGTGCATTGTGAAAAAATGTCTCTTTGCATTTGCTTGAATGATGTGATAATGTCACTCACTAAGCGAAGCTTATTGTGTAGACAGTAGTCCTTCCAAGCAAGTTGTCCAAAAAATGGAATAAATCTACAATAGTCTGCTGGTAAAATACTACTAAGACCTTCAGCATGCCATTCAGTGCTATGATAAAACTTCCCATCATACATCTACCTTTTGTCTCAAAAACATGATACCTTGGGTGAGTACTGAACCCACAGGATGATGCACCTTAATGAGATGCTATCTGTTGCTCAGGTGTCTATGGATAGGTCAACTATGACACCATTTTACAATATCCACTCAACTAATAATTGCTTTCCCAGATGAATCCAGGGTGCAGTGAGGAACTTCCAGCATCACAGTGCCCCAGGAGGGTTGATAAGGAACAAATTTAATGGGGATGATTTATTTTAGTGCAATTAGTGTTACATTTCAAACTTGGCTCCTCAGGTAAACTATGCTAGATTTGGCCTTCATAGTTGTAGAGGAAACATAATTCATTTGGTGACAAAATGGACTGCAAACTAAAAAGAGTACAAAGTCCCATGTACAATGCTATACAATACTATATGACCCCTGCGGCACAGGCATGTGCCATGCCCACCTGATCATCTTGGCTATTTGCATGCTGACAGTCATTTAATATTCACACACAAAGTGCTTTGAGGCACAGACTAATATAGCCACGCCATGCTGTTCATAACTCTCTCACCCTACCAACTGAGCTTCAGGAAGAGGCATCTCTGCATGGATGGTGAACATAGTAATACAAACACAATGTTGCAATGCATCTGCAGAGTATTCTGATGTCCAACATAGTCCTGTATCATAAGATCATGCAATATACCCATGCCTCATGACATACTAACAATAAGTTATATAGCCTTTATAAAAGAATCACAGATATCAACACTTAAATAAATGTACATGTCTATTATCATTTGGCTTAGACTATATCCTCAGCTAGTATATAATGCTTAGCAATGTTAGATTGAAGCCTAAGTGTTTCTATTACGGCATTGCATTTGAATGCTATTTCAATCTATGAAGCCTGCACCCAGGATTGCATTCAAGGGTTACAATGTGCAGGCAGGAGCTTCACCCACTGATACTATCTTATCACATCACTTTAAAGCTACAACCTAATAAGCTGTCAAAATAACTACGTCCAAATTAATTTTTAACACTTGTAGCATCACATGATGCAGCTGTTCGACATTCACCAGAGGCCCTTATTACAAACACCGTACCTAAGCACGTCAGTACATGCAGGTTTGTTATGCCAAAGATCAGATCACACATTTCTGTACCACTCATTCTAAACTCAGTTTGGCTGTGTGTGATTGCATTCCTTCCATTCAGTGGGATAGATGCAAACCAGCCACAGTTAACAGTAAAACACGAGTGGTCAAGTCATGACAAACAATAGGCCCTGTGCACTTTGTTACACCATATATGTCCTCACAACTCATACCCCACGATGCATATACATATCGCCTACTGGTACATACCCGCCCACGGCCCGAAGCATGACTTGTTAATCAAGCGCGTTGAAGGTGGTCAGAGCATTAATTTTAAAAATGATTTTTCCTTTTTAAATGCAAACAAACCCGAAGCACACAACAATCATCCCAGTCATAACAAATCACCATCGGCCAAGCCAATACTGTGACCAGGGCACTGTGATCATTTATATCACTAATTGTCCCAACTGCGGTATACATGAAGCAGAGAAACGTCACTTGTATCCAAAGCTTTAGGTGAGAGATGAATAATTGGGGAACTATCTTTGATATAGAATGAAGATCTTCATCATGCAATTTTTTATTTTAATTATAAAGTATTTAAACCAACCTGAGATATTTTGAGAAGTAAACCTTGAGACGCTAGTATCTTTATCAAGCAACGCAAAAAACACAAAATAGTCTTGATCACAGCTGCTCATTCAGGCTGTTCGGATTTGGCAAGCGGATGCTATTCTTGTGAAAACTATAATTCTATTGGGTTTAAAAGCCCTCTTTGTAGTTAATTTCAAGATCGGCTTGGTTCGAACACCCTAGATTATTGCACTGTGCTCAAATGAACGCGAGACTGGCAAGAATCGAGAAATCGAGAATATACGGTCGTTTTGGCGACGAAGTGCACAGTGGGCACGTGATCGTGCAGCTTTAGACTGGGGTGTGTATTGCGGAAAAGCTATGATTGTCCGGTGTACATACTTGCTTGCGTCGTTTCAGTGCGTGTTTAATTTTGTTGTCTGAGGCCGGTATCAGTTCACGGCTAGCGGGCTTCCATGGTGGTGTTGATTTGTAATTGGGACCATGCAAACATGAACCTAGTTATCATATTTTTCCTGAATTATACAGTCTGTGCAGCACACGATTGATGCTTTCACAAGTTCTGTCTGGACAATGTTGTAACTGCTGTTTCCTGTCAGGACTGAATGTTTCAATGCTTTGTTAATTTTTCCTACGAATTTTTGACTTGCACACAAGTGGTGCATGAAAACCATGCATGGCTTGCTTGCTCGTGCTACAGACAAGTATACTAACATGCTGGATGCCTATTGCTTTTCATAGTTGCTACACATTTGATGGCTCAAAGATTGTCTTATTTATGTGGTAACAGTTTCCAAAATAATGTTTCCAAGGCATTCAAATGCTTGGTGGTATGAGTTGGCACTTCTTTTCATAGTTCATGTAATCCTTTGAGATGTAAAAGGAGATGCTATTGATCTGGTAATAGTATCCATATGGTTGGGTTTTATTCATCCATATTATGTTTCAGAGCATGTATATGATATGACAACAGCAAGAGGACTAGCTTTCTGCTGATATAGCTATTAAGGAAGCAATCTACTCAGCACCAGTATGTCTCTAAGCAGCGAAAAAAGTGACATTGAGCTGGATGAGAAAATCAAACAACAGCACCGAATTGACAGCTTGAACATACTGTTGTATATGCTCCTTCTGATCACTACTGTGTTGACAATATGGATGTTCAAGCACAGAAGAATGCGCTATCTACATGAAACTGGATTGGCTTTGATTTTTGGTGAGACGTATGCTATGTCTGTATTTGCCCTTTGCAATGATTTTATGCCTTGACATAAAGGCTATACTTAAATTGAATTTAAACTTGAACTATATTTTTAGGTAGGATCATGTTTACCACTACTGATAATTGATATTATTTTAGTATGTGTAGTCTCCTAATATAATTCTTAAGGTACAAATCCAAATTAGAGCACTATTTAATGCTTACCTTTTGCTTGTAGCAGAAGTCACTATCCAATTTGCTAGCTGATATTTTCTGAACATTCCTACTGTTAGGAATTGCTATTTTTGAAAATGGTGTTCATACAGCCTGTTGACCACTGCCCATGTAACCAATGCAGCATAAAACTAACTCCTTATTTACTCCACAGGCCTGGTGGTGGGTGCCCTCATCCGTTACACAGGTGACCCCTCGGCAATCACACATGTGGAGGTTCAGGCAGTGCCACACTCCAACTACAATGAGTCACTGCCACCTGACTATCTATGGTTTCGGATGAAACGGAAGAGTAAGTGTGCCATGTTTTTAATGCTGGGGATGCTGCAGTTAACTGATGAAAGTCAAGAGTGTAACAGTCAAATGTCATCTCTGTGTGCACACAATCTGAAGATGCACACATACATGTGTTGCTGTGTTAGTAATTCCCATTGATGTGGCCACAGCTTTCCTTTTTCATCTTGCCATGGAACAGTGGCCACATCCACAGGCCTTGCCAATGACATATTTTTGTATGATGTTTTCATTGCCAGGATTTTGGCCATTGCTTCTAAATGAATGGTTATGCACATGTTTCTGTAAACAGGTAGTCATGTGTACCATTGTGTTAGCAGCTTTGTGGTGCTGAATCAGACTGTGCAAAACATACATGCTGGCCTTGGCACATTCCAAGTGTGGAACCCCATCAGAAAGGTTTGTTCAGCATTCATTACCATGGCAGGCAAATCTGGTGCGTGCTTGCGAGGCCGCAACTGTGACGCGAAAATTCAGATGTGTGGTGCACATGTTGAATTTGGTGCCATTGGGAGCTCAGAATTACAGCAGCTGCTGTCTGTCCAGTACTGCAGCATCTGACGATAGCTCCGTCAGCTGCAGCATGGCCTTACATTGGTCCTCTGTTTGGGGTTCAAACCTCACAAAAGGGCCAGCATAGCCCAGTTGGTGGTAAGCTTTCCAACCTCAGCGTTGGACCCAGAGGGGGGGAGGGGGCACAGGGCCATGCCCACCCCTTGGGCCCTGAAACGGCCCATTGGCTCCGGGTGACCCATAGGCGGCCAAACAGGTATAATTTTTAAACACCAAACGCAACAAAAATGGATATCTCTGGACTTCCAGGCACCCAAGAACAGTTGTAAACAAAGATGAAGGGCTTATGAGAAGTCAGAAAAGAAAAAAACCAAGGATTGGAAAAGCTGTGAGCAGGAAATTTTAAGCACCATTGCACTGTCTAGGGGCCCTTTGCTGTTTCCGGGGGCCTGTATGCCCACTTGCAGGATCATTTCGATCGTTAATGAGCGTTCCACGTTGCCCTTCATTTCATTGCATTTACTCAGAAGACCCTGCGCTGTTGTTGGGCCCTTCTTGTTATCGTGCAGGGGCACTCTTGCCAATCACGTGCCCTTCCACGCATTCTTTCCATTCGCCAGAGGCTCTGGGAGCTATAACCGAGGTCCCATACCTTAAACTGCCGGAGTATTCTCGGTTGCCCAGGGGTCTTTTCCGTAGGTCTCGGTTAACCTACCGACACACTTGCGGTATGCTCATGGGCCTCTACATTGGTCTAGTCGTTTCCAATTATCTCTCACTTGCTTAGTGCCCTACACTCTTGTCGGGAACAAATCTGCTGACCTGCTTGGGCACACCAGTCGTTCGGGGACCCTCTACATTGAGTCTTGGGTACTTCTTTTCTGAATGGGTGCCCCACGCTCTTGTGGGGGGTCTATCTAATAACCTGTTCGGACACATTCGAACGTTCGGGGGCCCTCCAGATTGGGCCTTAGGCACGTGCTATTTGAGTGGGGGCGCTCTGTTCGCCTCCTCGGCCACACTGGATTGCTCGGGGCCCTGCATATTGGTTCTTGATGTTTGAATTTAGGGCTCTGTGCTCCTATCGGGGTCATCTAATAACCTGTTCGGGTGCACTCCATCTCTTTCGGGAGCCCTCCGTACCGGGTTTCGGGCACTTCTTATTTGAATGGAGGGCCTTACGCTCCTGTCGGGGCCCCTTCTCATAAGATGCTCGAGCCCATTGGATCGTGGGGGACCTCCTCATCTGGTTGTGGGTACTTCCTTTTTGAATGGAGGACCCTCCACTCTTTTCGGGGGCCTTATCTGTTAACCCGCCCTGGCGCACTGGATTATTCGGGGCCCTCCATATTGTGTAGTGGGTACTTCATCTTTGAACGGAAGGCCCTACGCTCTTGACGGGGCCTCATCTGTTAACCAACGCGAGCACACTCGAATATCTGGGGGCCACAACCACCACTATCTAAGTAGTGGTTCGCGTCTGAAAAGAAGTGGCTCGCGTGGGAAAAGTAGCGGTTCGCGTCGGAAAAGTAGCGTGTTACGTCGGAAAAGTAGCGGTTAGTGTCGGGAAAGCAACGTTTGGCGTCTGAAAAGTAGTGTTTCGCGTGGGAAAAGTAGCGGTTCGCGTGGGAAAAGTGGCGGTTCGCGCGGGAAAAGTAGCGGTTCGCGTCGGAAAAGTAGCGTGTTGCGTCGGAAAAGTAGCGGTTGGTGTCAGGAAAGTAGCGTTTTGCGCCGGAAAAGCAACGGTTGGCGTCGGGAATGCAGCAATTCGCGTCAGTTGGACAAAGGCTAAGACGGCCGGGTTGTTGCGAGGTGACCGTGGCATGCTTTTATCACGTTAGATTATTTGGCCCTATTTGGTATACAGACTAGCAAACAATGTTAGACGGCCCACAACTGCTCAACTGGGTTGATAGAGCCAGGGTTTCTGAACGGCTTTGCTTGTCGTGTTCTTTTTGTCCCAAGCGTAGATAAACGTAGAAAGACACGCGTACGTGAGTGTGGTGCATCATTGAACGAAGGAGTATGGTGCTACAATTTCTTCAGAGCAAGCGATGTGTATATCTACACGCGCACTTAAACGGATTGCGATGAAAATGTTCCGGCAGTTCTCCCTGAAATGGTCGTCAACATACCTTTACAATAAGCCTCTTCGCGAAGACAACAACTTTCTTTGAGGAAAGTCGCACGGACACCCTGTAACCTGTAAGACAACACAATTTTCCTGAAACTAAGCTTATTTCCATTTGTCTTCTTCGCTTATGATTGCGCGGTTACCGCGCTGGACTGCTCTTTACCAGCCCGAGGCCGTGCGTAGTTGCTGACCACGAGGGTTTGGCTGTGGTGAGGTGTGGAGCGTCCGTGCTGGAGGACGAGCTTGGGTCGGCCGCGCCGCTGCGGTGTCTGCTGTGACGCGGCGGGTGGTGACGTCACCGTGACCCGCCGGTCCGCCCGCTGCCGCTGCTGCTGATCTCACATTCGCCGGTGCTGACCTGGCCGTCCTGCTGGTCGGACCAAGGCACACGCTGTGTGTGGGGTGTCCTGACCGCTGCTGGCATGCTACCCTGTCCAGTACCCTGCTGCTGGCTCTGCCTCTGCTGCTGACCTGACACGTGAATACCCGACCCTGCTGACCTGACCCTTGCTCACCTGCACTCCGCTAACCTGACTCCTTATGACCAGATCCTAACCTGATCCCTGCTTATCTGACCCTTGCTTACATAACCTCCGCTCACCAGACCCTCGCTGACCTGACCCTTGCCACCTTGACCCGTGGCGACCTGACCTGCACTGATCTGACCTTGCTGGGCTCCTTCTGCCTGTGCTGAGCCGACCGCCCGCGATAGTCCGGGTGACCAGGTGCTATTTGTCTGACCGACAGTGCCGCCCGGGGAGGGGAGCGGCCCCGGTAAGGCGCCTGCCCGCTGGCATGCGCGATGTGCGCGCGCCCGTGGGTGTGTGTGTGTGTGTGTGTGTGTGTTTTTGGGCGATCAGGTATTGCTGCACGCATCGATCGGACGCCCCAGCCCCCTCCCCCTCCCCACTGGCCGCCGCCCGCGGCTGGCGTCTCGCGGCCACACTGAGGCGCCGGCTCAGGTTACCGACGCGGAGCGGCACGACGGCGGACACCGGCACGCCCGCGGTCGCCGCCGGGTCTAACACGACGGTCCGGTCGTGTAGCGCGTCGAGGTTGGGTCAGGTGTTACCGGGGCAAGAGAACGGCAGACCGGTGAGACCAGACCAGACCAGGTCAAAGGCGGAGTCTAGCAGCGACCATGGAACTTGTGTTGTTGGATTGCAACCCCGCTTGGCCGAAGTTCTCGCACAGCGATTGGTTCTGAGAAGGTGTGTGACACTGCACGGTATATCAAGTTAGAAAACGAGGAAAATGTAAAATATGGTCCGTTCGGCCATGCTGCTGATATCACCAGCGGTGTACACATATTCAACCCGGACGGCTGGAGTCTCGCAGTGGAAGCTGTCGGTCATGCTGCTGAAATCACCAACGGTGTACACATATTCAACGCTGATGGCTGGAGTCTCACAATGGAAGCTGTCGGCCATGCTGCTGAAATCACCAACGGTGTACGCATATTCAACGCTGATGGCTGGAGTCTTGCAATGGAAGCTGTCGGTCATGCCGCTGAAATCACCAACGGTGTGCGCATATTCAACGCTGATGGCTGGAGTCTCGCGATAGAAGCTGTCGGTCATGCTGCTAAAATCACCAACAGTGTACACATATTCAACGCTGACGGCTGGAGTCCCGCAGCGCAAGCTGACACCAGATAATGCGTCATAATTTGCTAGTTCTATTTTTTCCTAGGATATTATTTCACTGGGCCGATTTGAATAAATGATCCGTCATATTCCGGCCGGGTCATAAGCGTTGGCTGTACATGCTAGCATTACTGCATTCTTACTTGTGTGAGTCACCAAACGAATTTGTTTGGTTCGTTCAGCATCCCATTTTCAGATCACACGTACATACCTCGTACTGATGTCCCGTGTTTAAAAATGTTCTTCTTTTAGGCATGTGACTCACCGTAGTAGTACCTATATTAAAACCACGCACAGGCAGATATCATCCCAGATAGCGCCAGTGCTGGCCGTTGTTGACTGCCGTTCGCTGGGAACGGACCGTTGCTGCGGTGCACTCATGCTCGTCTCGACACGGCCAGGCCGCCGGTGCGGCTTGAGGTAGCCCCCGACGTTAATCAGCTTACACGTCCTCACGTGACGCGAGCGGGGCGTTGGCATGCTTTGTCCTAACGACTGACGGGCGGTCAGGGCAGCTCGGCGCCGGTCTGAGCGTCGGGAGAGACGACGGCGGGGTCCCGCATGCGCCTGCTTCCGCGGCAGCGAGGCGAACTGGGCGATGCGCCAGTGTCAGCGGCGTCATGGCGTCGGGAGGGGTTTTCAGCAGACCCACCATTGACTCGGTGCACGCGGTGATGGTCGAGCAACTGGGAGTGCGTGGCACGGGCGGGCGGCAGCCTGATCTCTGTCTGTCGCCTGTCCCACTGGTGCGCACCGTCGCCTCGTCAGTGATGGCGGACCGCACTCTGGCGTGATCTGCCGCTCGTTTCGCACGTGTGACGCACGGGGTTGGTGCATCGTACCGGGGTGTGGGGGCGGCGCACGGGACACCCGCCCCGGACGAGACGAGGGAGTCTCGGCGGCGCATGCCTTCCCCGCCCCCCGACCGCCGGCCGCGTGAGGCGCCGTGGCCTGACCCTGCTCGCCGCGGCCCTGCGTGATGGGAAGCGGGCCGTCCGGTTCGCAGGCGCTGTTGGGCTTGGTCTGAGACGCGGTCGTGACCTCCCTCTATCCTTGACCCGCGTTGTGTTGGTAGCATGGGGCGGCTGCGTTTGTCAGCGGTTCCCGGTGCGTCCCTTCATGACCCGGGCGTCGGTGGTACGACCCGTGCAGCGCTCCGACGGTCCTGACGGGGTGCCCGGCCGGACACGCTCTGTTCCCTGGTGGCCATGATGGGGCCGGCGGTGTGACCCGTGCCGACGGACGGTGAGACTGACCGCGCCTCACCTCGGCCGCCAGTGGAGAACAGGACGTACGCCTACCTGCTCACGGGCGAGGTGGAGGACGCCACCGGCAACGAGTTCGCCCAGCAGGCCACCTTCGACCCGGAGATCTTCTTTAACATCGTGCTGCCACCCATCATCTTTAACGCTGGCTACAGCCTGAAGCGGGTGAGCGACGCGGGGATGGAGAGGGTGGGGGGCGCGGTCCGCCGTCAGCCGTCCGGTGCCAATCGATACGGCGGCGGACGATTCATGTGTCGGCCGCGGACGGCGCCCCCGCTCGGCGGACGTCGCGCCCGGCCGCGGTCGACGGCGCGGGGTGGCCACCCGCAGACGGCGCGACAAGTTACGACCGCGTGGGGCCCGGCGCCGGCGGCCACCGAACACCTGTGGCAACGTCGCAGGTCAAGTCGCCGTTGTCTCGTGCAGGAGAATGACGATGCGTGTTGGAGACTTGGTACCGTGCTTTATTTTACCACAGACGCTGTGTCTCCAGTTCGTGCTCGGTTTCTTTGACGCGTATTCAGTGTTTGACTGCGGTATGGCATGGCTTAGATGATAACCGAGGTCCTGATCCGTCGTTGAAGGCCGTCCAGTCACCTCGGCACAGCATAAACACGTCTCACCACAGCCGACATTGTGGGGTGTCTTGCGTCAGCTGATTGCTGACGGGCTGGGGTCCGCGCGGGAGTTACCGCCATGCGATTCTTTCGCAGAAATTCTTCTTTCGAAACCTAGGCTCAATCCTGTGCTTCGCCTTCATCGGGACAACGATCTCAGCGTTTGCGATCGGGTGAGTGTAACAGCTGGCGGCTGGACCACAAGGCCGTGTTCATGTGGTCAGTACTGCGGGAGCTCCCGTCGCTGCCCCGTCGAACTAAGGCAGCGGCTCTCGGCCGACCCCGCTCCCACTGAGGCCGCGTGATTCACGTTCAGAGGCCCAACAGAGGATGGAAGTGACGTCATGCCAATGACTTGCGGTCGATGTGCCTGCTCGGGAACGTGCAGCAGCCGGCGATGCCGTGCTGGATGACCGGCGGTGACGCATATCGACATCTGAGCTCAGGCTGGATTTGCCGACCCTCTTGTTTTGTGTCGCCTCCGACAGATGTCGCGTCTCTCGTGTGGACCTCTCGCTGCATTAGTGCCTCTGCTAACGTTACATTGCAGCGTTTCCCGTCCGGCCTTCATGATAGAAAGGATATTCTGAATCGTGCCAGCGCGCAGGCATGCCATTCATGCAGTGGTAGTGCCGCGAAAACAGTAGAATGCCCATCGTCTCAAGCTTGCAGGAAGTCAATAACAGCTCGAAGCGTGTTTTCGCGACAAACTCTGTACGTCGTTTGCCATTCGGTTCTGTTGTATCACGCTGGCGAGTTTTGAATGGATGATATCAGTGCAAGGTGGCGGACCTTAAGCCTCCAACTCAGGCGATACAACTGCTTCATGCTGACGGCTCATCTACGACCCGAAAGTGGCGGCCTTATCGCCAGACTAAGGCCAAGTGCGTAGTTCAAATGTGTGGACTGCGCGGGGTATCCGCGATCCGTCACCGCGACAGAACCTGCTCATAGTCGGATTCGGGCGATTTGTCGCCGCATTGTGCGGGGGCTGAGAGGAAGCTATCTCGCAACGCTCGGATGTAAGCAAACGTCGAGATTTCGCGACGAGGCAAGAGCCGCTTCCCATGTAGTCCCTTCGAAATTCTACAGACATTGTAGATCGCCAATTGAATCACATCAGAGAGAAACAGGCTCGACCCGTCGGTGGCTTGGACTGACGGAGTCGACATGACGCGTAGCGTGACTTCATCGACCAGAAGGGAATGGATTCGCGCACGGTTGGCATTATCTATTGATAGATATTCATATAATATTCTCTCCGTATGTATTGCAAGTGCGAGAGGTTCGCACTTACGCTTGTGGTTGCAGGCTAAGCTAATTGCCGCAATGCGGCTTAATGGCGGCGGCAGTCTGCATGCATACACCGCAGCGTGTGTCATAGTCTATATAAATGGAACGATATATAGTCATATATATATATATATATATATATATATATATATATATATATATATATAATATATATGTATAAAGACCGGCCCATTTATCCTTCACTGTATGTATACAAGCTCGTAACAAACGCGTCATATACCGTAGGACCCAGTTTCTGCTGTGTGCCACGGATTCGGGTGGTATTTTCATCCATGCGCTTTTTAGATTGTGCGATGTTTGTTGTGCGGCTGTAGGTCTGTTAACATGTTTGCTGACAACGTTATCGGCGGCGCGCATTTTGATCGATGTGGCCGTCATGGTCAGACGTCAGGTGCAGTGTTTTGACCGATGTGGCCGTCATGGTCAGACGTCAGGTGCGATGTTTTGACCGATGTGGACGTCATGGTCAGACGTCAGGTGCACAGTGTTTTGACCTATGTGGCCGTCGTGGTCAGACATCGGGTGCAGTGTTTTGACTGATGTGGCCGTCGTGGTCAGACGTCAGGTGCAGTGTTTTGATCGATGTGGCCGTCGTGGTCAGACGTCAGGTGCAGTGTTTTGACCCATGTGGCCGTCGTGGTCAGACGTCAGGTGCAGTATTTTGATCGATGTGGCCGTCGTGGTCAGACGTCAGGTGCGGTGTTTTGATCGATGTGGCCGTCGTGGTCAGCCGTCGGGTGCAGTGTTTTGGCAGCGTGACTGATGGCTTTCTTTGGACGCTGACATTGCGGTCCATTTCCGCTATTAGTGCCTGATCACGGTGCGAAAGTGTCGGCTTCAGACACTGTAGTGCTGCGTCTGGAAGGATTCGAGTGTCCCGCTGCGTTCTGTTGTGCCGGTGCCGGACTTGTGAGTGTCCAGTACGGAAATGTGCGTGCGTGCGTGCGTGCGTGCGTGCGTGCGTGCGTGCGTGCGTGCGTGCGTACGCGCTTGTGTGTATGGGTGCGCGTGTCCATGCGTGCGTAAATGCCTGCGTGCGTGCATACGTGTACGTCGTCCTGATATATGGGCCTCCTCTTCAGAAGCGTTGGCGTTTTGTCCGGATGCCTGACTGTCCTGTGCAGACGCCTGAGTGTCGTGTGTGAGTGCCCCGTCGGGCCGCGGAATGTCCTGTCTGGCCGTGTGAGTGTCCTATCGGGCCGGTTAAGTGTGTGAGTGTCCTATCGATCCCCAGCGGCGTGCAGTACCTGTCTGACCCCGGCTCTGTCGATCCCCAGCGGCGTGCAGTACACGTTCGGCCTGCTTTTCTCGTCGCCGCCGTCGCTGCTCGACTGCCTGTACTTCGGCGCGCTGATCTCGGCCACCGACCCCGTCACCATCCTGGCCATCTTCAACGACCTGCAGGTGGACGTCAACCTGTACGCCCTGGTATTCGGCGAGTCGGTGCTGAACGACGCCGTCGCCATCGTGCTAGTCACGTGAGTGGGGCGGCGGCGGCGGCGGCGGCGACTCGTGCCCGGGTTGTTCCCGGATCGTGCCCGGCTCGTCCCTGGCTCGTACCCGGCTCGCGCCCGGTTCGTTCCCGGGTTGTTCCCGGCTCGTCCCCGACTCGTCCCCGGCCCGTGCCCGGCTCGTGCCCGGCTCGTTGCCGGCTCGTGCCCGGCCCACTCCCGGCTCGTCCCCGGCTCGTCCCCGGCTCGTCCCCGGCTCGTCCCCGGCTCGTCCCCGGCTGGTGCCCGGCCCGCTCCCGGCTCGTCCCCGGCTCGTCCCCGGCTCGTCCCCGGCTGGTGCCCGGCCCGCTCCCGGCTCGTCCCCGGCTCGTCCCCGGCTGGTGCCCGGCCCGCTCCCGGCTCGTCCCCGGCTCGTCCCCGGCTCGTCCCCGGGCCCAGCTGGACCGCAGCCCAAGCGGGGCCGCCATGTCATGCCTCCAGCGGTTGTGGAATGTGGCCGACCTGTTGCCGCGGTAGCCAGAGCGCGGCTGCAATGGCCTCATTGTGTTGCCCGCGTTTGATGTTCCCAGCTACGGGGGATGCCAGACGCCGTAGTGTCAGTATTCTGAAACTGAAGTCGTCCACATCGCCGGCCTCTGTTCTGCAGCGCCATCGAGAACTACGCCAAGCTGTACGCCACCGGATCGGACGGCTTTGAGGCCATCGCCTTCCTGAAGGCGATCGGCCTCTTCTTCTACGTGTTCTTCTCGTCGTTCCTGCTGGGCTCCGTGATGGGCTGCGCCACGGCGCTGCTGACCAAGTTCACGCACATCCGCGACTTCCCGCTGCTGGAGAGCTCACTTTTCCTGCTCATGTCGTACTCGTCCTTCCTGATGGCCGAGGCCGCCGACCTGACCGGTAAGAGCGCCGACAGACGGACTGTGGGAGGTTGTGGGGTAGGGAAGGGAGGATGAAGAAAGGCTCGCTATCGGCCAGGCAGTGGGAGGGTACGGGGTGGGGAAGGGAGGATGAAGAAGCGGTAGCTATCCGGCAGGCAGTAGGAGGGTACGGGGTGGGGAAGGGAGGATGAAGAAGCGGTAGCTATCCGGCAGGCAGTAGGAGGGTACGGGGTGGGGAAGGGAGGATGAAGAAGCGGTAGCTATCCGGCAGGCAGTAGGAGGGTACGGGGTGGGGAAGGATGGTGAGGGAAGGCGCGCCGGCTGACGGGCACGTGAAGCGCGCTGGGACAAGAGCTCACCTTCCTACCGTGGTGAACACAGACAGCTGTATACCGGGCATCCGTTGGAGTGACCCGCTCGCCGTCTGATGTTACGGTGTCGCCAAGTGCTGTGCTCTGTGGAGCTTCGGTGGCCTCCAGTGGCGCGTGAGGACGTAACCGTAGTCGACTGGTCCGTGCCTTACATTCAGCGTGTGTTTGCATCCATGTGCCTGTAAGTACCACTGCGGCACTGGTTGATGGCGAAAGAAAGGAGAGCGGTGCGGCTAAGCGTGTTGATATCGCCTCGCCCCGCCTCGCAGCGCGGGTGCCCCACTTTTTTGGAATATTGGATCCATTTATTGATCTCAACTTCCGATTTTACTTCCCTTCTAATTGAAAAACGCTATGTCAACTCCGCAGGACGCAGAGACACCATTACATAATATCATCACATCACGTCCATTATAATTTTCCACAGCATCCAGTTTACCAGTAACAGTTGTGAGTTTGGTTATTCGAGCTCGTCCTCCCTGTCCCCTCCTGCTTCCCCTCATCCTTTCACGGAACACATATCCTGTCGATCTAGTGCCCTCCCGTGGCCTTATTCTATATGGCCCGTCCCTCTTGTCTATAGAACACACATACATATAACAACACCACAAGTTCGCACGAATTTTCTTAGCTCTTATCATAACGCACCCATCAACTTTTCTGTCACGTTCCACAGTAGCATGAACTCCTTGGCTGTATGTTTCATTACACGAACGCACGCTTTCGCTCTTCGGAAAGCCCTTAAACATATCAAAGACAAGGAGCGTCAGATTGCTCTCACTCTTACTTTGTTCCATATGGACGACCTGGCCAGCTTCAAAAACAGGTTTGAATCGTATTTACTGCCGGCATAAGTTCCAAAAAAACCGAGGCAGGTGTAGGTTCCATCGGCCGTATTCCCCACCGTCACTCCTGAGAGCACCTCGCACCTGGTCCCAAAACGCTACAACAGCTCGACAATTAATCATAAAATGTCAGGCTGGTCCGACCCCGTCTCTGCAAAAGACGCGCCTCCCATCAATTACTCCGTATATTTTCAGCATCTTGTTAGGTAGAAGCATTCTACGCCATGTGCAGAGTTGGGGCAACCTAAGCCCAATGTTTTTGTACTCGCGAGCTGGCGCCCCATTTGGCACGGCGTGTGGAGGCCCCACGAGCCGCAACGTCTGAGGTAGGGGCGTGGGAGTGTACACGGTGTGAAGCTCCGCGCCCCGGCCGTCAAACCGCGCGGCCGCCAGCTGCGCGCGCCCCCGCCGCCAAGGCTACTGCACCTGTGACGCGCCGTGAGCGTGGCATATGGGACCTGCACAGGTGCGGTCTAAAACAACACCACGGCCTGTGTACTTTATTACACCTCGAGGTGTATTAACACTGACGTGTTCAGTCTGGTGAAGACGAGGGTGGGGGGGGGGGGGGGGGGGGGGGGGCGAGGCAGGACTGGTGAGCTGACTATGACGAAAGGTGCAGCTGTGTATGCTTTTGATGGCCTTTTTAGCTTGAATATTGCGATGCACATTAATTATAGTGTGGTTTACAGGCTCAATATGTTGCTCAGTAGCTCGGGCTTAAAAGCGTTAGCCGCTGAAAGAGGGCCCTGCGTGCTTTGATATGCGTCGCTCTGCGTGCCGGAGGACCCGGTGTGGGGTAAGCGGCCGGGCGCCGGATCCCAGGTCCTCCGGCCGGCGTCTGACGTCATCTGTCACGCCACTCGTGGCCCGAGCTGCGAGGCGGCGCAGTGACTTGTAACGTCACCTGTGACGTCACCTGCCGGCAGGTATTGTGGCCGTGCTGTTCTGCGGCATCTGCCAGGCCCACTACACGTACAACAACCTCTCGGATGAGGCGCGCGTCAGGACCAAGGACTTCTTCGAGATGATCAACTTCCTGGCGGAGAACTTCATCTTCAGCTATATCGGAGTCTCGCTCTTCACATTCCCCAAACATCAGTGGGATTTCGCCTTCATCAGCTGCGCCTTTGTATCCTTTGACGGGCTACGAGAAGAGCGGCGTGGAAGGGGTACAGTAGCAGCACGCTGTTTGCTTTCTTTTTTGTGTGCGGTGTTTGTCGTGTGTGAAATTTCATTGATTGATTTATGATCGAGACTTTGAGGCGCGCCGACGACCAAGGTCATTTTGTACCCGAAAGCTCCGGGTGGGACCTGATCCGACATGATCGTGTTAAGTTGCACGTTTCGGTCGTTGCGATTCGCTGGGCTCGTCTTCCACTCGGTCTAGTTTGAGGTGTCGGGGATTGTCGAGTGTCGGGTCACTCTGCCCGCACTTGGCGTGCATGGCTGCTGGTCTATTCTCTCGGTCGCAGCCGCTGTGGCGCAGCCTTCAGGACAGTCACGACGCAGGATTAGCGGCGGGGCCTCATGTTCAGGTGGAAGGGGCTTCAGGACCACCTCCCCCGCCAACTCTGCTTCAGCCGCCCTCAACTTGGAGAGGAAAGCGGTGGGTGGAGACTTGACCACAGGTGGAGACCAGAGTGAGAATCCGTGGAGAACTTGGACTTTGCGTGAAAATGTGGGCAGCTCACAGTCCACTGGGCTGTGTCCACTCAGCGCCGGGTGAACGCCGGCTGCTGTCGCGGCGGGCCGGTGTCGGGTGAGCGCCGGCTGCTGACCGGCGTCGGGTCAGCGCCGGGTGAGCGCCGACTGCTGCCGCGGCGGGCAGACGGAGCCGCGGCCCCGCCTGCCGCGCCGGCCGCGGCTCCGCGGGCTCTGTAGCCGGTTAGTGTCCTTGACGGCGCCGTGTGCAGGTGTCGCTCTTCATCGGGCGTCTGCTGAACGTGTACCCGCTGTCCTGGCTGCTCAACCTGAAGCGTAGGCCGGTCATCCCGCTCAACTTCCAGCACATGATGTTCCTCTCCGGTGAGTGGCTATGGCGCGGTGTCTCTCTGCCACTGATGGTCTGGAACCCCGGCCGGGGAGACTTTCAGCTGCCCTGGATGGTAGGAGCCCAGAGCAGACGCCTTGAAGTGCCAGCACATTTGAAAGTTTGGCGCGGACGCCCAGTGTGTTAAATTGCAGGATTTGGGATGAAAGTAACGCATTTTACGGACGACTTCGGACTCTCAGTTTTAAATTCGTGTGATTGTCATCCCCATTCATGGACGGGTTAGGTTTACCGCTGATTTTGGTCTCCTTCAGGGCTTTGACGAAGGCATGTCAGTCCCCTTGTCATCTCCTGTCGAGGCAATTTTGATGAGCTGCTGACGACGAGGTGGCATGCATGATTTGTGCCTATGGTCTTGTCCATAATGATGGGGCTCCCACAAATATGTCGCCCAGAAGGCGTTTCCGTTTGATCGCCGAGAAAGAATCAGCCGGCACACGCGGTCCATATATGCCGTTGTGCGGCCTGTTCTGTTACATCAGATCCGCGTCAGGAGGGGCGCGTTCCTCATGTGTGAGCTGTTTATGGACGGGTGCCCTCCACACTCATTCGAACATTTGCGGCTTGGTATGCCAGCCCGCGTGACGTTTGCAAGGCGCTGAAGCCGCTCGCGCGGGGCGGAATCCCTCAGAGCGCCCGGCATTCGGAAATGGCCTCCAGGAGGTTCGAACGCACCGTATTGTAAACACAAATGCTGCACCCAGATCTACAGCGTCGGCCGCCGTGCGGGCCGTGCCATTTACTCGCTGCTGACGGGCTGCACCTCTGGGCGCTCCGTCGTAGTTCGTCTTCAGGCCTTCTGATCTGACCTCGTGGCCGTGTCCGTAGGGCTGCGGGGGGCCATAGCGTTCGCGCTGGCGATCCGGAACACGTACTCGGTGGGTCGGCAGACCATCCTCACGGCCACCTCCATCATCGTGGCCGTGACCGTCATCTACGGCGGCCTCACTACCCAGCTGCTGCTCTGGCTGGGCATACCGTGAGTCCTGCTGCTGGGGTAGCGACGCGGCAAGTCGGGCCGTTGGCTTCGTTGGCTTTGTGGGCGGAACAGAGTTTTGACAGAACAGAGTGGTGTGTGTTTTACACTTACAGGCTAAAGCGAGGCTTTGTTTGCCGGTCGGGTGCAGGCTGTTGCCATCACGCTCCGAAACGGTGAAATAGCATGTCGAAACAAGCGTTTGGCAGTCACTTTTAACGCCACCTGTTACCAATTCTCAGAAGCGTTGGCATGCCGAATCCTCACAAATCGTCTCGCGAAGGAAAACTCGTGAAAGGCGTGGGGCTCGGTCACGTCGAATGGCACCGCCATCGGCGGCCTTTCGGGATGTGTCGGGGGCCCGCCGTGAATGTCTCGCCAGCAGGGCGGCGGCTGACCTGACGTGACCTGGCCGGCAGTGTGGGCGGCGAGGAGGACGACGAGACGACCGGGCTGAACCAGCTGCAGCGCTGCCGCCCGGTGAGTGTGGGGTGCAGCCCGGTTGTGCCGCCGGGGCAGGGGCAGCCAGCGTCGCCCGTCCGGACCTGTGTGTATCGCTTCACTCGGCCTGTGGCGCTGCTGACTGCTTGGGGATGCCCGAGGACGGCGGTTTGACGTGTGGCTCGTACAAATCACACCAGCTGTGTCAAATGGCTGTCCTCAAATGTCCCACTCACTCAAGTGCGAGTCTTGGTTCCGCGTATTAATTGAAACTGTGCAAAGTTTTAAAACTTTCTCTCACTAAGACACGGGTCCGCCGTCCTCGGGTGCATTTTTATCAGCAGCTAACGGCTCAGTATTTTGTTTAGTTTGCTTATGCGTGGCTGATCTGCTTACAATGGGATGCGTTTCGTTCTTTTTGTAAGCTTGCCGTCGTTCGCGGACCGTGCGTATGAGTGAGTGCGCGTGCGGCGGGGTATGGTTTGTGACGTCGAGTGGCACGCCGTGCATTCAACTTTGACTCCTTGTTTTGCATGTTGCAGGTATATAGCGCGATGGAAGGAAGGGTAAGACTCTGCACCTTGCTTGGCGCAATGCATGGCCGGAACACCGTGCGTTTTAGACGCTTGTCCTCCTGTTGTTGTTCGCCAGCCGTGCAGGGCTGCACAAGACCAGCCATGTGACGTCTGCTCCCTGTCCCTCCACCCAGAGCTGGCTCAAAGTCGGATCGTGACGTGTGCTCCAGTGTTTGGGATGTAGCGGCCTGTACACTTAATTCTACTAGTCTTCCGCTGCACGGTGTCGTTTATTTCGTGGCGTAGCCATTCAGCCTTCTGGTTTTCGCGTGGACTGCGCGTTGAAAACCTTTGGGTGCAAATGACTTTGCCATTAAGCAGTAATGTACCCTAGTCTAGTGACTCGGGTTCACTCGTGCCGCGTGCCGGAACGTTTTCGGTGAACGATTATGAGGTACGGGGCAGTTTCATCTTTTGGCCCGTGTATTTCGAGACAAGCTGTTCCGCGAATGGTTGATCGTTCTCCCGATCAGACGTTGTGTTGATACCTTTGTCTGAAGTAACTGGTTTCCGTCCGTTGAGAGGGTCTCCGTAACTGAGTGCCACTCGGCGGTAGGCTATGCGCGCGCCGGAATTGAGACACCGTGTCGCTTTTGATGTGGCCTTTGTCTAACTTATGGCCATGTGCAGATTTGTGTCGAGATACGCGGTCCGTGACCACGGACACCCGGCGCAGGACCCGTACACTGTGTACCGGCCTGCGAGAGGCTGCCGGCCGTGAGGGGCTGCCGGCCGTGAGAGGCTGGCTCTTAGAGGCAGCCGACCGTAGAGGCCGGCCGTGAGAGGTAGCCGACCGTGAGAGGCGGCCCTGGGAGGCAGCCGGCCTTGAGAGACCGGCTTCGAGAGGCAGCCGGCCAGGAGAGGCTGCCGGCCGTGAGAGGCCGGCCGCGAGAGGCAGCCGGCCGCGAGAGGCAACCGGCCGTGAGAGGCAGCCGGCCGTGAGAGGCTGCCGGCCGTGAAAGGCCGGCCAGGAGAGGCAGCCGGCCGCGAGAGGCAGCCGGCCGTGAGGGGTTTCCGGCCGAGACAGACAGCCGGCCGTGACAGACAGCCGGCCGTGAGAGGCAGCCGGCCGTGAGAGGCAGCCTTGAGTGGCAGTTGGCTGTGAGAGGCCGGCCGTGAGAGGCAGCCGGCCGTGAGAGGCAGCCGTGAGAGGCTGCCAGCCTTGAGAGGCAGCCGTCCGTTAGAGGCAGCCGGCCATGAGAGGGTGCTAGGCGGCTGTGCGCTCTATGGTGTCCCATCCGGCCGATCAGCCGGCGCCGCACCGACGCCATCCGTACCTTGTCCGCCAGCGCGGCCAGCAGAACGAGACGGGCGCCAGAGACAACCCGGAGAAGGCGCTGCTGGTGCGGCTGTGGTCGGACTTCGACACCAGCTTCATGAAGCCGCTGCTGACGCACTCGCGGCCCACCCTGCTGGAAACGATGCCGCTTTGCTGCCATCCGTTAGCCCGCCTGCTAACCAGCACACAGCAGTTGACGCAGGTAATGATGACCTGCAGCTGACGCTGGTAACAACGCTCGGCGCCCAGCAGCTAACATTGGTAACAATGCAAAGGATATACAAGCTGACACAGATAACAACATGCAACAGCAGACAAGTAGACCAACATCCAATACTCAACATTTGACATTGGTAACAACACACAGCATACATTACTTTGTGCAGGCAACAGCGCGTGGCAACTGGCCCTGGAAATGACACTCAGCACTTAACAGCTTATGCTGGTAATGACATGCCACACCCAACAGCCGACACAGGTGCCACCAACCAGCCCTCAGCGGCTGACACAGTGACAACGCTTTACACCCAATAGCTGGAACGTAGTGGGATGCATCACCGCCGACTCATATTAGCAGCCAATCATGCCCAGCATTGCCTATCAGCTGACAGGAAAATAACTTGACCTGACGCTCCGCCCCTGCTCTCCTGACGGCCCGCCCCCTGCCATCTTGAAGCTCCGTCCCTGCCCTCCTGACGGCCCGCCTCCGCTCTCCTGACGGCCCGCCCCCTGCCATCGGGAAGCTTCTCCTGCCCTTCTGACGCTCCGCCCGCGGTGGCAGGACACGAGCAACAAGTACGAGGAAGACGGCGAGCTGTGCCTGGAGGCGGACGAGGCCAGCTTCCAGCACGGCGACAACGGCTCGGTGCACTCGAGCGGTCACCAGGTCAGGCGGCCGCGACGGACGCCAGGGCTCGTTGGGGCCTCGGGCGGGCCCGGGCCCGCTCTGGGGTCAGGGCACGCTTCCGATGGGTCTGGTTGAACCAGTAATGGCTGGGGCAATCAAGTCAAGGCTGGTACGTCGGGTTCACTTTGGCGGGGGCCGGGTTTGTGGGGCTACAGCTGGGTCCAGACGAGGGTTGCTGCCTTCCCTGGAAACAAGACGGGGCCGCTGTTGACCCGGCTGCGGGCCAGTAGGTGTGGAACGCTCCTGCGCGCTCCCTGACGGCCGCCTCGAGCTGCGGGTGGGTCGCGGACCCCCGGACAGCCGCGCCCTTCCGAGCTCACGACGATCGGCGCCGGTGCTCGCTCCCGCACGCGTTCTCATCCATGCTGTCACAGGCAGAGCGTGTATGTTGTCAATGGCATCGCCTTCCGCCGGACTGGGGCCTCGCTCCGGAGTGCGATGGTCCCTCGGTTTTATATTCGGGGTAATCCTGTTGTTGCTTTCCTCTCATTGTCGGCAAATTCTTCTCTGTGTGCACTAACTTCGGTGGCGGCGTGGCTCGTCTCATTTTTCTCCTGTGGTTTGATTGTATAGCCATGAAGGCTGAAACATTTGGCGCTGATGCACGCTTAACGGTCAGATATGCATGAAGGCCTCGTTAGGTAGACCGCAGTTATGACCAACCTTGGCGCGTACACGTGACTAGGTGTCGTCTGAGATCGACAGAGATAGGACAGGTTAGCTCCTAGGTTACGTACGTTCTTAGTCGCACCCCACCGGTCCGTTGTGATTGTAGCACCGTCGCAGTGTTGTCGCCCCATCGCAGCGTAGTCGCACCTCCCGTGTCTCACCAGTTAGCACCAGTGTACGTTGAGTGTCGATGATCTCCAGACACGCCCCCGGCTCTGTCCAGGGGCTGTCTTGTCCCAGTCATGGCGCCTTCAGGTGAGGGGGGGGGGGATGGTCTCGTGTGCGCCGCTAGCGGTCCCATGCCTCGGCGCGATTGCCGTTACTCTGTCCAGGGGTTGTCTTGTCCCAGTCATGGCGCCTTTTGGTGAGGGGGGGGGGGGGGTCTCGTGTGCGCCGCTAGCGGTCCCATGGCTCCGCGCAATTGCCGTTACTCTGGCCGGGGGCTGGCCGGCCCTCCGTGACATCCTGCCGTGGATTCCCTGGCGTTGCAGTCTCCGTGATGGGCTCCCGCCTGACCTGAGCTGGCGTCTGAGTCAGCACTTGGCTGTGATGTTCGCCTCTCGTGTGTCCGTGTGAGCCTCAGAGGCGTGTCGTCTTTACCAGTTGTGTGGTGTCCCTCACGGGAGCTACACTCCGTGATCCCCTCGTGGGAGCGGTATACACTTTGAGTCAACCCGTCCGGTGGCTGTGCGTGTAATGTGGCTACATGACTGGCAGCACTTAAACGTGATGCTGCGTTTCGCTGAACGTGTCCGATTGTCCGTGGCCGTGGTCGTGTTTGGACTATACACGCTCTGATGCGTTCTAAGCGTGCTCACCGTGTCTGTCTGCACCTGTAGTGGGGGTACACGCTGCTCCCCATCTCTGAGTTGCGCCAGGCGCGCGCGCGACACCTGCTCTCCTGAGCCGTGAGTGGGCGCCGGCCGCGCAGCTGACCGCGGACGGGAGAGCCTGCTGCACGCCCGGGGGATATAGGCACTCTGGCGGCTGTGTTGGGCTGGGGAGCGCCGACTGCGGTGGATCGGTGGACGAGGGCCGGGCTTGACCGGCGGCAGCCCCGGCCGGCGGAGGCCCCGGTCGATGGAGAGCCCGGCCGGTGGAGGCCCCGGCCGGTGGAGGGCCCGGCCGGTGGAGGCCTCTGCTGTCTGCCGCCGAGGGTGATTGCGGAGGTATCGTGCACGGCAGATCGGCAGAGGTGACGGTTGTGGTCGGCTGCTTCTTGGTCTGGTGGTGACGGTCGTGGCGGTAAGGCGGTTGGGGACGGTCGGGTTGCACGTTTCATGCGGCATGGTAATGGCGTTCCGGGAGGGACCGCCTGATGCTAGCTTCATTGGGATGGACGTGGGCAGCATAAGATTTACTGGCCCCCGTCGGCCAGTAACTTGAAAACTTGTCGATGCAGTCTTGACCGATTTCACCAACCATTTAGTGTGGTCGGACTGGGCGTGTATTCAGTGACGTTTCGACGGTGGTAGGGCCAGTTCCTGTCGCCATCCCCCCCCCCCCCCCCCCTGTGATGGACGACCGCTCAAAAGCAACCGCCACACACTTGCTGTGCAGAAGCCCCGCATCGCACCCGTTGTTCGGCGTGGCCACGTTACTGACACCCTGTCTGTTCCCTGCGCATGCGCGATGACCCAAAGCAGTCATCCGGTCCGGACGTGGACGCCATAGATCTGACACCCGCTGCCAGCCACATGTGGTAGGACGGCGGCTGGCCTGCACGGCCGATCTGTGTGTGTGTTTGTGTGCGTGTGCGTGTGTGTGTGCGTGTGTGTGTGCGTGTGCGTGTGTGTTTGTTTGTGTGTGTATGACCACCATTCTGCGCGAGATTTTCCACACGGACTGGGACTACCTGTGGACACTGTGCTTGCCTCTCTCGCAATGATTGGCGTCGGGTCGTGGGGCCCCGCACGTCCGGGGCATAGTGCACTGGGATGATGAGAGGACCCCGGAAGCAAGCGTGCGACCGTTGTCAGAACTGGCCCGCTGTTCGTGCCTCAACGGCTCTAGGTGCCAGATGAGACACGTGGGCGACGCCGGACACTGGCTGCGCCGCTCGTGAGACACGCCCTGTCCAACGCTCGCAACACGCCTTGCGTCTCGTCCTTGAGACACTGCTCACCGCATGCTTCTGGGGATTGGGTCAGTTTGGCCGGTGGCCAGTCTGCGCCCTCTGCTTGCGTTGGTGTGGGTCTGGCTTGCCACTCTCTTGTCTCTAATGCGCTTCAATCTCATCTCTGACTGCCTGTGCGTGCGGCCCACTCCTCGCTTTTTCCGAGTTGTTTGTCTGCAGGGAGCTTGTATCGATACTGTACGAGGTTACAAACGACTAACTAGCTCACGCTCATCGCTGAGCGTCATCATGAACTCACCATAGTGCTCGCCTTAATCTCGTCTATACGAATGGAAACTTGTGACTTGGACGTTTTTTCGAGACAGGCGTTGCATTCAAAACATAAGCTACGTATGCGTGATTTCTTGCAGCCCGGGAACGCTCTTGTATGAGCGTACGCGCAGTCTGTCGTGTTCCGTTGCGCTTAGCCAGGTGGCAAGCTGTTTGTCATGTTTTTGCTCTCATGTGTGGGAATATGACGTCATATCGTGTGCGATATGGTTTGAATTTTTAGGTCGTTGCAGACCGTGCAGCATTTTGCACCGCAAAGCTCTTTCCATTGAGTCTGTAAGTCAAACATCGTGCGCGCCTAACCTTTAGCTCTCTATTATTCAGGCAGGCGTGCCTTCGTTGACTCTAAAGGCCAAACAACGCTGAGATCTGAGGTTATGACCAGACTTGTGCTTCGCCAGGTCTTACCCCGCATCAGCTTGGTTTCGTATGCAGGCCTTGGCAGTGTCGGTATTGGACCTCAGGCCATGCTATTATAGGCCAGTTATAGCCTTTACTCGAGACAATCCAGCTTCTAAAGCGGTGTTGGCAGTTTGCATATATTCTCACCTGTTCTGACCACTGGGTTTATTTTTTCGCCTTGTGTTGATCACGCGGAGGGGACGACTCAAGTGAAAGAGCCGCACTGAACTCCAGTCGGCTTTCAACAGCTAAGGACGCGGCGGCTTTGTCTTTTGGGCGTTGGCAATCTTGGGGAAAGGATTGCGTAGTCAAATCAACCTATTTTGGTTCTTATTGCGCATGATTGACGCGTCTGAACATGATGGGACATGAAGACGTAGTCTCGTATCTGAAGACAAGAGAATTCAGTTTTGTGTGCTTGGATACGTAAGACTTAACCGAAGATTTACAATAGAAATCATATCACAAAAGGTTATGCTATTACAAAAAGCTACGGTCCCTATCATGACATCCGCACAGAATATTGGACTTAGGTGATTCTTCTGTGACGGCGGCTTCGCCTCCCTTGTAAGTGACGCCACCGTCGCTCAACTTTCTGTACGGTTACACGAATGGTGAAACAGCACTGTTCTGCTGCCATTAATTTTGTCCCCGTCTGGCGGTCTGGCTACCGCTCGCTGTATTGTGACCTGGCCACCGGTTCATGGCTGTGATGATAACCCTACTCCTGCCCCCTGTCTGGCGACCTGACTCCTGTCCCCCGTCAAGTGCCGAGGTTCCCGTGCCGTGCCTGGCGCCGCAGTGGTCGTCTCGTGTGTGTCCTGTGCGCCGCGTGCCGCCCGTCCGATGTTGCTTGGCGCCGCCCTGCTCGCTCCGGTGGCGCCGTCCAGAGCGTGCCGTCGGGTGACCCCAGTGGCCGGCTGCACGCAGATGGCCGCCGTCTCTGACGACGGCGACCTGGGTACCGGCTCGACGGCGGGCTACCAGCGGACGCCGGCGCCCCCCGTCTCCACGCGCGTCCACCTGCAAGGGCACGGGCGCGGCGACAGCTTGTAGGGGCGGCCGCCGCCCGAGCTCGGCCACGCTATGTCGGAGGCCGCTGTGATGTCCGCCACGAGGGCGCCGCCGCCGCCGCCGCCGCCGCCGCCGGCTCTGCTGCGATTTTACAGGGCTCAGCTGCTTCGAGATTATCGGGGCGGTGCTGTCGTGGCGCTTCTCTGCTGCGAGGAGAAGCGAGGCGCAGGTCCATTCCTCTGCTGCGGTGGCAAGGGCGGGTGGGGCGGGCGGGGCGGGGCGGGGCGGGCGGGGCGGGGCGGGGCGGACCGGGCCGGGCCGGGCCTTTGCCCGGCGAGACACATTCCGAGACAGCATAAGAGACGTCGGAGGCAGCGCAGAGCTAGCCGGCTGTAAATAGGCCAGAGAGCGTCCGCACCTCTCACACTCACTGCACGTTTGTCGCACCCAGTCTGCGCATGCCCCGACCGTCTCGGCCGCTGATGCGACGCCGCAGCCGGACCTCTGCTGGTCCGGTGTCCTCTGGTCCTTCGCACACTGCAGCGGCCGAGTGCGGTTGGCCAGTGACCGGGGACGGTGTCTCAGAGCGGCGCGCGTGTTCGCAGAGGAGGCGGCCGCCCGGCCGCAGCACCAGCTACGGCTCCATGTCACTCTGAGCGGGTATCCCGCTGGCCGGACTCCCGCGAGTTCCGCGGCGGCCCTGCCGCGCGCGCCAGTGATCAAACGCCATTCGCGCCAGTCGGGCGGCGGCCGCTGGCTCCGAACGCGCGCCAAACACGACGGAAGCGGGAAGCAGCGAGTGTTGTCGATATTGTGGTGGGCTCCGGCGGTGGAGTACGAGCTGTTGTTGCATCGGTGTCATAATTTACTTCGGCGATTGTTTACGTTGTTATTTTTTACTCCCGTGTCGACAATATTTATGGAGAGGGAGTCGCGATATGCTTAGGGGCGGACGGCTCCGGCATTCCGTACCGCAGCCCGTTTACGACTAATCTCTGGCTCCGAGCCGGTCTATATCACAGTCCGCCTGTGTTGAGTGGCGCAGTGTGTGCAAGCATGTCAGTCATTCAACTTATAAATCAAGGATACGTATCGTGCGTTCAGCCAATCGGTGTTTGTATCCTTCGGTGCTTATTATATGGAATGTCGTAAGCCGCGCGTCTCATTCCGTTCGGCCAGTTTGCACTCAACTGCGGGATGGAGCCGCGTCGTCCATGTATGAGGCCGCCATCAGAGGCCATGCAGCCCGGGGAGCGAGACCGCTGGACAGCGCGCCGGGCGTCCAGAGCGGGGCAGACGCCCGCCCAGCGCTGTCATGGGCGTCACCGTCCGAACAGCTGGCGCAACACCAGCCAACACACGACGCCTGCTGCCCGACGGCGCCTGCCGACCAATTGAGCTATTTCCCAAAAGCGAGGAGTAAACATCTACGTGGACGGAGTTCGGAGATCGTGACAAACACTACTCATGGCGGCAGCCACCACACCGCACATCACGTCTGCGGCCGCATATGTGCCGAGATCACGGCCGCGCACAGCGCCGACGGCAAGCTCAAACACACTCAAATCTGACTAGAACGGACGGTGGAGCCGCAGCTACTGAGATCTCGTGAATACGCCGACAGGGGGTGAGGCGCCCATGGACGACTTAAACATTGCACTGGCGGAGGAGGGCCGCTGGCGGGCCTGTGGACCCGTCAGCCCACCACTCTCCGCTGATGGTGCTGCGGACTGCCCGGACAACGCGACAGATCGGCGCAACAGATCGGTGCAACGGATCAGTGCGACAGATCGGTGCGAAGGATCGGTGCGACAGATCGGTGCCACACGTGTGATTCGATCAGGGCCGTAGAGCTAGCCACAGAACGATCGTGGTGGTGTGTCGGCGCCCCGACGCCCTACCTCCGGCGCTCGCAGACGCCAGCCCCGCCGGCAGCAGGTAATCCAGTGACGCCAGCCCAGCCGGTTGCAGTGACGTCACCGTGACGTCATCGACGGCAGCATCTCGTCTATATGCTCTCCTTGTACTCAGGGATGAGCTGTTCGCGCACGTACAGCGAGTAGACGAGGCCCTGGCGTTTGTCGCCGCTCGTCACGGCCCTGATGAAGGCTGGCTGCTTGGCCACCTCGAAGTGGGTCTCAGTGCCGTCGTCGACAAACTCGCCCTGCCGGCGGGCGATCGGTCAGGCACCGCTGGAGGCGACGGCGGCCGCTCGTGGTATACAGCGCTGTTGGCGGCGGCTGCCGCGCTTGGGCCGTCCCACGCGTCTGGTGTGCCGAGGCAGATATACCCACCCGGGGAGACGGCGAGCTGTCGATAACACAGGGGACGGACTTGGGACCTCAGCTGTCCACAAAGTCCGCCGGCGTGCCCCGCCCTCTTCGCGTCCAGGCACACATAACAAGCACTGCCCAGCAAACAACCGTCAAAACATGAAATCTATTCGCAGAAGACGCCCCCCGCGCTCGGGAAACGTTCCCAGTGCGTATGAGACGGCTCCAGTGCACAACGGCCCCGGTGCGTGACGGACCCGAGCTGAACGCTTTGCCCAGCACCTGATACAGTGGCTTACCGCTGTCTCCAGTTTCCGTCCGTTCACCCATACGTCCAGCGTGCCCTTCTCTGAAATACCGCCGGCGGACGGTGAGTTCTGGCCCTGGCGGTCACGGTGATCGACACGGACTGGCGACGGCAGCGAGACTCCCGTCACAAGGTCTAGAGATGCACAGCTGACATGCACGGCATTTGCGCAATTTCACTATTTTAAATTTCTCTAACGAGGCTATAAAATGTCTTTGAATGCCCAGAGGTGTGCTGCGCCGCCGTTGCCGCCCAGCGTTCCCTCCCAAGACACCGCACGGAGCCGCGCCGTGTGTGGCCACCTCACCCCGCTGCTTACCGAGGACGACCCTGTATGTGCCTTCGGAGGCATTCACCAGCCAAGTGCGCATGACCTTGGACTGGTGCTGGGTGAAGTTGCGGAAGGCCTTGCCGTCGACGTCGAGGGAGTACTGATAGGCGAACGCGCCGAACGGCTCGATTTTGACGGTGCAGCGGACGCGCTGCTTGCCCACCTCGAACGACTCGCTGCCGACGAGGCGGAACATCCAGTCCCGGCGCACCACCTCCTGAGGTCACGGGAACAAGTGAGCATCCAGTCCCACAGCACAACCTCTTCAGGTCAGGAGAACACATGAGCATCTAGTCCTTCAGCACCGCCTCCTGATGTCATGAGAAATGTGAGCATCCAATCCCACACCACCACCTGAGATCAGGAGGACCCGTGAGCACCCAGTCCCGCAGCACCACCTCGTGAGATCATTAGAACACACGAGTGTCCAGTCCCACCACACTACATTCTGAGGTCAGAACACAAACATCTAGTCCCACTGCACCACCTCCTGATGTGAGCAGAGCATGTGAACTCCAGTTCTGCCACACCACCTCCTGAGGTAGTGAGAAACATGAGCATCCAGTCCCACTTCACCGCCACCACCACCTGCATTTATGAAGCACACAAGCATCCAGTACAGCCACACCACCTCCTGAGGTCAGGAGAACACATCAGCATTCAGTCCTGCCACACCATCTGAGGCATGTGAACATGTGAGCATCCAGCCCCACTGCACAACCTCCTGATGCCTTGAGAACACATGAGTGTCTACTCCCTCTGCACCACCTCCTGAGGCCACAAGAACAAGTGAACATCTGGTTCCAACACACCTCTTAGTCAGGTCACAAGAACATAAGAATGTCCAGTCTCACCCTACCCTTTTTCCTGCCACATCATCTCCTGTCTGACCATGATGCATGGCAACATGCCATTTCATCATGTCATACCAGCATTATAAAAAAACCAGAGGTACGCATCTGTTTGGATTCAAGACAATTTAGGAAGTGATGCTGTGTCCATGCTGCACAATGAAGCATGGATTGTCAATGCAATCACATAAAGAAGAACAGCTCAGTCTCTGTATGAAATTTAAAAAGGCTTACTTGTCCATCAACCTTGATGATACGCTTGCCAGAGATGGTACCATGCTCAACTTCAATTTGGTGGATGCCATCATTGCATGGTACATCCCACACAGCCACCAAGTCCAGAGCCATGACCTGGAAGCATTCATGTTTAGGTATTTTTTAACTTTGAAAGTACATATTGGACAACATTATGCTGAGTGGATGTATATGCACAGGTAGTTCCAAATTCAAAGAAGCTGCTAAGCAAAGTTTAATGAGGCTATGTTAGCCCGCCATACACGTTGTCTAGGCCGGTTTAACAACTGAAGTGCTACACAATGCTCTGACACAACATGAATATTAGCAGCAATTGTTCGTCAGACGCAGGAATAACATATTATTATTTCAACTTATCACCACTATAAAAGGCGTTACATTCTGTTTGGTCTAGTTTTGCATACCTCCAACCCCTTCAACGCCCGCGTGCTGATCAAAACTCTTATGCGTATGCGTCGGTCTCCGTAGGCCCCCCGCCCCCGTCCGTCAGTCAAACTGCCAGCTGTCTTTGCGAATCAGACTCTGAGCATATGTCTCTCATGCGCCATTTAGTGATCATTAGGGTAGTGATCAACGCATCGCGATAACCTTGAGCATACAGCTTCTTTGTTTAGAGAACCCCAGAATCTCCGCTGGGATTATCATAGCATCCAGTGCTGTACTGCGCGGGCGCTGGGTTGCATCTGTCCGTGAGTTGCGTTTCCATTAAATTCGTCGCGAGTTCTGCGTGACCTAGGACGGTCATCAATTGTGCAATTTATTTGGTAGGCCTAAGGTGTTTGCTGTCGGGAGTTGGCATTTTACCGTCTGCATTTGTAATTTATGTATCAATGGCAACGCCCAGCC